AGGAACAGCCGCGGAAGAGCGCGCCGCCAGCCGTTCAACCCCTATTTTCACCCCCTAGCGCCTTGAAAAGTGGTTGTAAGTAATTTTTAAGGTCAGAAATGGAAAGTACGCAAAAAATTGCGTAAGAAAACATGTAATGAGTGACATCAAAACGAAGATTCGGCGAGGAACAGCCGCGGAAAGAGCGCACGCCAGCCGCTCAACTCCCCCACTTCACCCCCCTGTATCTCCGAAACCGCTTTTTAACTCAAGCTGAAATTTTTACCTGAGACTTGGGGCATCATATGCAACAATTTGGCGCAAGTCCCGTTTGCAAAATCGAGGGCCTAAAAAGGGGCGAATTTTGACCCATTTTTAACAAGGCTCTTTTAAAAAAGAAAATTTTAGAAAAAAACACTCTCCGTATTCGGAAAAACAGAACCACATTTTCTCAAGAAACAAGTAAAAACTGAGAGAAGGCTAATTATTCCCAAGAATTTTTAATGGAATTTAAATTGCATTGCATTTTGAAAAAAGGAACCAGAAGCATTACAATATTGCTAAGATTGTGCAGCTCCTTTTGTCTTGGAAGGAACACCTAATTATCTCCAAACAGTTTCTATTTTACTCGCTAAATACTGTAAATTTAGGACAAAAATTACCATGTAAATTTCATGTTTTCTGCATATAAATCGTTATACCGCAATGGGTGAAGTTGCACAGTCTTTGCAACATTGCAATGCTCTCGGTTCCTTTTTGCAAAATGCAATCCAATTAGAAAGTCGCTCATTGCGGAGCACGCACTTAAAAAGAAAACTCTTAAATTTGCTACCGAGAAATATATTATCTTGAGTTAGAAAATGAGCAAGCGCGAAAATATTTCACCGGCGAAGACGGTCTTTTTTAAGCTAAGATGAACGAGAAAGGAATGGGAAAGGCGCCTTTAATGGATTTGACGCTCGCAGCGTTTTTATGCTTCCTTGGGTTGTTAATGGGGCTTCGTGTTGTAATATGATATAACACGGTTAATAATTAGCCCTCTCTGACACTGATTAATTTGAGTTTGACGCAAAAATATTTGGAGAATTTGCCTCGTTATTCTCGACGGACAGCCGGGTAGAAGAAAAATGCTCAGACTAACGTGTCCTTGCTGGTGAGTGATGTGTGCATTTTATTGGGGAGGGTGAAATTTAAAGGCTACATGGAAGCGTGTTCTTAAATTTTTTACGTTTAAGGTTTGAGGAAGTTCGTTTTTTTAACCAGGGAATGAGATCCAAGATCACGACGCATTACGATCCTTGCTGTTTTTCCTCTATTTTTTCCATAAAGAATGGACACTTGAATACCTAATTTTTTCGGGAAAAAGGAAATCGAAATCACTAAAATCACACAATTTATGATCGAAAACATCCCTGGTAAAAATTGGCGGCAGGAGCTGCGTTTCAAAATACCATAGGAGTTCCTATAGCCGACTGAAGAGGGCGATAGAAAATCATATAGCTGGCTGTAGAAAGTGGAAAAGATCATACGGCCGGGCTACACGGAGTGATAAAAATTTATACAGCCGGGCCATAGTTCCTATCGCCGGGCTTTACTTTTTATCGCCTGGCTGTTGCTCTTTCGCCATCGGCTATAAAAGGCTATAAGAAATTGAGTAGAAATTCTTGTGCTTTGTAAATCCTTAAGTTTGTACGGAATCACCTTAATATTTACAAAACGCTCATTATATTTTCCTTTACTACATATTTTTTTTCATCAATTAAAATGAGAACAATCCATACAGAGTGTGCAAACATTTCAAAGTCATGAGTTGAAAAATGCTGACTCCGCGAGATTAAATATAAGAGCCTAACACAAAGCGGAGCGGCGGCGCACCGGCGCCTACAAACCTAACAGGGATACTTCACGCATCGCGCAGTGCGTGAAGTATCCCTGTTAGGTTTGTAGGCGCCAATGCAAGTTCAGCGCTGGCTGCCCGCCCGCCGCGCCGCGCCGCAGCGTATCGCGGCGCTTGAAGCAACTATTTCACACTAGAGGTATTGCACAGTATCATACGAAATTGAAGGCGCTCCAACATCTTAGGAATGTCAGGCATCCTTCAAAAGAACGAAGCTTTCCTCGCAAATTAAATCAAGATACTGCGGTCCAAAAAGAGAGTGGTCGTCCAAAAACTCACTAATTCCTAGCATCCGTAATTAGTAACGTTTAGCATACACTTTATCGCTAGGCTGTTGCTTAATCGCCATCGGCTATAAAAGGCTATAGGAATTTGTGTTGCCGGCTATAGAAGCTATTGGAAATCTTACAGCCGGCTGTAGGTCTATGGTATTTTGGAACACGGATTCTACTGCCAATTTTTACCAGGAACACCAACGCGAAAAAATTAAAATAATCAAGACACACACAAAACTGCACAGTGGGTGAAGAAGTTAATTTAAGAAAAATATTTTAGGTGTCAAAAGACAGGTATTTAAGGGTCTTTAAAGGTTCGAGTTGGAACAGATGCGTTAACTTCAATGACATTTATGAAAACTGACTTTTTTAAATGAAAATTGAGCATTTTCGAGTTAGGTACCGAGTTGGTGTGTTTTCGTTCTCATTGAATAAATTGATTTGGCGTTATTAAAATAAAATCCAGCAAAAACTGAAATACCAAAATTATCAAATTTTATTCGATCAGTAAAAATACGCGCATGTAAACAATTTAAAATGTATGTTTTCTTAGTAGACTGATATGTCTAGTTTTAAAGAAATGCTGTATATTATAGTTGTTTAACGCTATTCTCGCACTTCATAGTGATATTATGAACACAACTCACGAATCTGGCAATGGCGGAGCATTATCCTCGTGGCCTGGCACATCAACATGGATGAATATGGAACGATCTTTCACTTCTGTCATACATGGTAAACTTACAAAATCTTCCCAGGAATGATCTGAAACATTTAAAAAGTGCAAAAAATAAGCAAAACATTTGTACACTCGCATGACTAATTTTTTTCTTTCGTATTATGTCAGCATGGATTTTTCCACATGGGTGTTTCACATAATGTCAACAATGCAGGGACCAAGTTGGTACCATGTTGCGGTACCATGTTGGTACCATGTTGCGGTACCATGTTGCGGTACCATATTGGTACCATGTTGGTACTATGTTTTCATCATTAGAGTCCCTTTATACCCAGAGTTAAGACAACTCGATTATCAGCTGACTGGCAGCCGACCTTGGTTGGCCATGGAGGCCGAAACGAGTGCACCCAAACGAACGATATTGAGAGATAAGGATCAGGATTCCTGCGATGTCTGTCACACGAAAACAACAACATCAACAAATTGATCAATTGAAAAGAAAATGCGATTGGTTTGTGAATAATTTCTTAATCTATTTTCATTTTGGACTGATGGAAATAACAATTTACTCTTGATAAACCACAATTAGGTAATATTTTCATTATTCTTGTTCACATACGAGGTACCACCATCTTGGTGCACTCGTTTCGGCCTCCATGAGCGAGAACCAATCAGAATTGGATTTTTTTTTAGGCCACTTTCAGCCCAACCCTGGCCCAACCAAAAGTGAGTTGTCTTAACTCTGGGTATAAAGGGACTCTAGTCATCATGTGGTCGTCAACAAAGCACCCAGCGGTGTGGCGTGCTTTACGATATATCGATTGATCTGCCATTTAAACCTATAGAAAAGGATCGCTAACGCTCTTTTACCGTAGCTTTCCCAAATCTTTGATCAACTCTTTCCCGGATTCTTGTGTCCGTTCCTTCCATCTTCCCATTCTGTTTGTTCCTTTCCGTGCCCTTAGTTCCCCGGTCCATTCGAGTTATAATCTTTGTGATCGGTGAAAGTGTAATCTCTTTGTTCCCGTTTGTAACACTGCGAGGGCCTAAATTACGGGAACCAATCAGAAATGGAATCGAATGGAGATATTGCATGTGTGAGGAATTTGCGATTTGCCTGTCGACTCCTATGTAAAAGTTCGTGAGAAACACGATGGTGCCACTGGTTTTCTTTGAAATCAATTCCCAAGCTTAAAAAAAGCTCTCAAGTTGAGGCCAAAATGGAGGGAATATCCCACCCTACCCTGAGAGTCCACGTCTACATCAAGACAAACGCTCCATGCAAAGATAGGGAGCAAATACATTGAGAGGGCTGCCACTTTATTTGGGGACTCAAACATTGAAAACACGGCAACCCTGCTAATGTATTTGCTCCCTATCTTTGCATGGAGAGTTTGTTATGATGTAGAGGTGGACTCTCAGGGTAGGGTGGGATATTCCCTCCATTTTGGCCCCAACTTGAGAGCTTTTTTTTGAGCTTGGGAGTTGATTTCAGAAAAAAACCAGTGGCACCATCGTGTTTCTCGCGGACTTTTACATAAGAATCAACAGTCAAATCGCAAATTCCTCACACATGCAACATCTCCATCGTCTTCACTCTCAGTATAAAGGGACTCTACGTCTACTCTACTCTACTATATGTACGATTAGCAGCTTTCGGTGAGAAGTAGACAAATTCGCAAGGAACCAGAGGAAAAGGCGGTGCGAAAGCGAGTTATGAGGAATGATGAGAGTGACGTGCGAATACCTGGACGACGACCTAGATCCCCGATTCCCGGTGCGGCGCATTCCCCAATCCCCATTCCCTAGACCGTTCCCCGTTCCCCGTTCCCCGCTTCCAGTCCTGGCATCCCAGGTTTATGACAATGGCTGTAAATATTCTTCCGCCCCGCCGCCATCGCCATCACCGACGCGGCCATGGTCGCCCAGCTATTTCCACATGGGCTGCCAAAAGCATCGAGTTATACCTTACACAGGGCTCACGTAGGTATTGAGATACGCCCTCAAGTCTGAGGAGCGACAAATTCGATGACGTCATCCTCGGACACCATCATCGCAAGAGCCGCCTTCTTGCCAGTTTTCCGAATACCTCACCATTTGGACTACATTTAGCAGTTGAGAACTATAGTTTCCGGCTCAATATGACATCGCGCGTTTGTAGTCATTTTCACCCAAAAATAGCGCGTTCGCAATAATTTTCTAAAAATTCTACGCTTTTGCAGTAATTTTCTCAAAATTTCAACACTTAAGCGTTATTTTCTAAGGACTCAACGTTTTTGCTCTCAAATTGCACCAAATATACTTTAGTTGGAAATGCGCTGGGCAGCGCACGTACACAACTTCGGAAGATGTACGCAACAATGGAGTGCATTTTTATCAAAATGCAATACTTCCATCATTCATGGTCGCAGCCGACGCAATATTTCCACTGCCTACGCAGTTTGCGATCGACCGATTTGTCGTTGATTCGCGATCATTCTGCATCCTTGTGTTCCTGTGCTGATCTTATGGTCCATGTAACCAAACCTTTGGATCAAATCGATTTGAAAAGAGGAGGCTCGATTTTATGAGCCAAGATTTCAGTTTGATAAACCAAATCCTTCAAGCAATATTGAAAATCGAACGCTAGATTCATGAACCTGATGATTTTGCTTTAAGCAAAGTGCTTCACGGAATTCATATTTTATTAATTTTAATCGTTTATCCAGACATGTCTCAAATGGGTTTGATGGAATTATTCTCAATTGAACAGATTATTTTCCAAATCACGTAAGCGCTAAAATTGCGAATGCGAGAAAAACAAGTAACGCAGTTGTATTAGCTTGAAATTTTCGAATTCCAAAAAATGTATGTTCTTTTAGAAGGTTATTTTGAAATCAGACATGATTGATTATACCAGAGAAAACAAAAGAAAAAACAACCCCTCTACCACCAAAATAGAGATTGGTGCGAACCGGATGAACAAGATACGAATACGTGATTTGGAAAATAATCGGTTCAAATATGGCGTATCTGGCCACCGCGCAAATAATCAGCCGAGACCACGGTGAGACAGTGCGAAACACAAAAAATGACCGATGGAAAAAAAGACAGAGCGGGTCAGAGTTAGAGAGAGAGGAGAAGAAAGGAAGGAACTCGCAGCGCAGAGGAAAATGCATAAATTGCTAGTGAACTCAATTTTCTGGCAGTTAGAGAGAAGTGAATTATTCCCCATCGATCGTCTGTATGTGTTTTAGCTGTAACGTTCACTCGCTCCGCCCCGGGATCGTTTGTTTGCCTCGTTCGTTCTTTCAGTTTGCCCTCTCTCGTCCGAGCGGCTCTCGAGCCCGCCAGGTCGGAAAACCCAGTAAATCAACAGGTGTTAATATTAGAACGATCATACATCAAAAAGAGAAAACTGTAGACACAATGGACCTCTAGACAGGTTAAGAATTGAAGCACCAAAAACATGTTTTTTCTCATCAGAATGTTAAGCAGAAAAAGCTACAAGTTGAGAAGCGTTCAACTCCGCGAGTTGAATGATCGATGTTATGACGCGTATTAGCGCCTACAAGACTGTGGGGAATACTTCACGCATCGCACTAAACACAGTGCGGTCGCGTCGCGGTCGGCGTGAGCGGCATATTAGCGCCTACAAGGCAGGACGAATACTTCACGCACTGCGCCAAACGCAGTTCGGTCGCCGTCGGCGAGAGGTGCACATTAGCGCCTACAAGGTTGTAAGGATACTTCCCGCATTGCGCTCACACCACCGTGCGCGCTTCAATCATTGAAAATTCGTAATCTCTCAGGGTAGGTATTCCCGCTATGTATCTATGGTATTATAATCTACTGAAGATACCCAACATCAATAAATGGAGAGTCAGATTATATGGTTTATTGTACATATTAGAGTAAGAATATCCACTTGCGGATGACTATTTTAAGTAGTGGATATCAAGGGGAAAATTGCTAATTAAACCCGTAGGTTTTCTGAGAGAGCATTATTCAGTTAATATGAAAACCAAACTGCAGTTATTTCCTATCAATCTTTTAGACGAATTTTCGGGAGCAAATTCGAAATCTAAAGGTTTCAACGGTAAAAAATTCCTCGATTTCGAATACTAAATATCGCGAAAGCGTGGAAGCGAAGAATAACAGTCACCATAAAATTGGACCGCATTTCGCAATGAAGAACTACGATTTCTAGTTCGGTTCAGAAACAACGTGTGCACTATTAGCTCCCTCATAAAGATACGTGTTTTTACGGATGAACCAGAAATGTCAGTTCCTAATCGCAAAAAGTAGTCCGATTGTGGTACATATTATTCCCCATTAAGACTAACATTTTTTAGCTTCAGCCGATAATCGAACTTGGCGCGATTGCTAGTCAAGTATAAGTGACCTCCATCTCTTCTCCTTAATTTACCGAAGGAATAATTAAAAGACAACTCTCCTTCGATTAATTTAATTCAGATTGCCAAAAATTAATGTTGATTAGGACACGCTGTCTCCTAGCAGTAGTTGCGGTGACTAAAATTTCCCATCAGTCATCGAAGTTGCCCTAGTTTTCCCTAGAGTCCCTCTATATTCAGAGTTAAGACAATACGAATCCATTTCTGATTGGTTCCCGTATTTTAGGCCTTCACAGAGTCACAAACGGGTATAAAGATTACATTTTCACCGATTGCAAAGATTATAAACTGAAATAGACCGGGAAATTGGAAGTACGACATGGAGCAAACGGAATGAGAGAAGGAACGAAGATAGGTTTTCGGGAATGAGTTGATCAAAGATTACGAAAAACGTTCAATTTGTGTAATCTGTATTCCCGTTTGTGACATTCATGAGCCGTGTTAAGTTAACTCTCTTGTCTTGATGAAGGGACTCTAGTTTTCCCTTTTCCAGTTCGCCCCCATACGTAATTCTTTTTAGTCTCCTCATTTGACCACTTTGATGTCCGCAAATGATAAATTAATAATTAAGAGGGTAGGTAATGAAAAAAGGGAAAAATGCTGAAGGCACGCCATACTTTAGACTTGGCCTTTGTTAAATTGGCGGGGTGGTGGGATGCAATAATGGGAAATAAAGGAAGGTAATGGAGGAC